AGAGCCGTTGACAGCATCCCGGCATACGTCGCAAGGTGCAAGTTCTTTTTCGCCCTCTGCCCTGTTGTGGAAACCAGCTCGCTTGGAAAAGTGTTTACCGCGTTTTCTTGGAACGATCGAGCATGGTGCCGCACGGAGAGAGTCCTGAGAGAACTGACGCCGAACGATCCTTGGATTATCATGATCAAGAGCAGCACGGAGTTAGTATTGACATCCTCCTTTGCCCCTTGTTTCGTCGTGCAGCCGGCGGGCGAAGGCCATTTCACGGACGACAAAGATCGCATGAAGCTTGCTCCAGTTTTTCAGCATGCCCTTGTGTGCAAGATGAAGCTCCTTCTCCGGAGCCAGGATGTTGTCGGCTATCGGTTTCTCCTGAACAAGCAAAATGTCTACTTGAGAGGTTTCGACGCAGCCGCTGTGTATGACTTGGTGCCCGGCTTTGCACCAGACCCCGGCTTGGGGACGGACACAGCAGCCGTTGCTGCGCAGCAGTTCCTTTTCCAGAATGGTTTTACAACGATTCACAAGTTCAGTGGTGGATGGTCACCACTGCACTATGCAGCCCTGCGTGGAGATCCGCTAGTGATACAGGGCCTGCTCCAGCTGCGGGCGAATGTAGGTCGCTGGACCCGGCAAAGTCAACCGATGGCAGGGGTTCCACCTGGTTGCACAGCTCTCGCCATCTGCTGCTTTTTCAAACACCACGACTGCATGCGCTTGCTGATCACTGCAAGGGCCTCAGTGAACTCTGGTCTTCATCCTGTCCTTGCAGGACCAGCTGTTGCAGACGATCCCGAAGGCATCCGAATTCTTCTTGCAGCCGGTGGCCGAGTCTTCAAGGTCAATCTCTTGGGAGACGCCCCCTTCGACTACAGTGCCGCCTTTGGAACAATGGCAGCACTGGAAGAACTTGTCACCCAAGCTGGGACCGAGATACAGTTACGCCAAACACGCTTGAACAGGTCGTTGTACTTGGCAGCAGCAGGTCTCGGAGGTAGTGCTGAGGCTGGAGCTTCCCCAAACCCTAAATCCTAAACCCTAAACCCTCAGAAACTACGGGACCTGAACATAGACACCCCAACCAGTGTAGGCTAATTGCTGAGGGTGCCTGAGGTGAGGTAACCCTCCGGTTTTGAGGACCGACCCCCCTCTCCAGGTTCTTATGCGCTTGATCGAACTGAGAGCTGATCTCAATGCAACCATGCGGCCAAACAAGCCTTTGCGTGCCCTTATGGCAACGAAGGGACTTCAATATCAGCTTGGCAAAAGAACGCTGCTGACGAGGTGGGGATACCATTATGGAGGTCAGACGCCGTTAATGGTGGCTGTCATGTCAGGTCAGTTCGAAGGTGCCGCCGCCCTTATTGCTGCGGGAGCACGACTAGATCTGCGCAACTGCCGCAACTGGACTGCGGCGGACTTTGCCAGAGGACATTCTGTTCCAGACTTTTTAACAGAGGCTTTGTTTCATGGACAGCCCGAAGGTTGCCTCAGAGTGACAGCTTCAGCACTTGCACAGGCTCGCGTCGAGCTCTAGGCTAGAGCTGCACGGTGACGCAGTCCGGACTTCCACCTGTGCAAAGAAGTCAGGTTTTGGAGGTGTGCTCGCGCATTGCATTCTGTCGCGCCGATGTCGATGCGGCAGTTTAGACTAGTTTCTCTCATACTTGCGAAAAATCCAATGCGAGAGGGCCCTAAGAAAGCAGGGCATCTCAATAATCAGTCATCACATGCCATCATATACGTTACAACTGTACAAGTCTAACTACTAACATATCAACCCCTCTCAACTCAAACCCTATTGTAATCCCCCATCATATTACCCAGTTCAATCCAACAATGGAGCCAACTTCCAAGCCATTTCAATTCTCGTGGTGAGGCCTCGGAATTGGCAGAGTCCGGCGATCTTAAAGCAGCGCAGCAGATCCTCAAAGAGGCACTTCTTCTGAGCTGCTGGTATTACTGGGAGTGCAAGTTTTAGGGCCTTTTAGGGGTCAGGATACTACAAGACTTTCGTTCTAATTCGGGCTCTAAGCGGTCGGTGCTCTGGTCTGCGGTCAAATTCCGTGTCGCTGTCCCACTTTGCAGTGAAAGGTGCTTCCGTCTGTCGCTCCAAGAGTCCAAATCAACGCATCCCCAGCTCCTTAGAAGTCCTGTCGTATGTTGCATGCTGTGTGTGTGTGTATGTATGCATGCATGCATGTGTGTATGTATGCATGCATGTGTATGTATATATACATGTAAAATTGATAAGCATACATATACATGTACATGTACATATACATACACATATACATATACATATACACATACATATACAGACATACACATACACGTACACATACACACACGTACAAATACACATACACATACACACACA